ATGAACCCTCAGGCACCAAACAGGGCTCTACCCTCCTGAAACCCCTCTGCCTCATCGAGACCTGCTGCTGGAAACCATTTCTGATTTGACAAAAGGTCAAAAACACAGGAGCAGCATGTTTTTATCGACTGCAGTAAGTTATAGAAACCACATTGTAATTTCATCATTTGTGTTCTTTTCAAAGCTCACCCATTTCACCCTGGGTTTGTTTTCCTCCCATAACATAGCTCCTACTCCTTCAGGCACATTCACCAGTTAACCTAACCCACTTCTCACCTTTAGATACAAAGCTGACAAACTGCAGAGAGATCTCTTGGGTCCAGAAAACTCAGCAGAACCCATCTTCTACCCCACTCAGCTTACCTGGGCCCCGGGAAGCCAAATGCCCGAGGGCTGATTTACATTATTTCAAATAAAGGTGGGGGCTGCTCAAAGTCCAGCTGACTTTGCTTGAATCAGGTGTTGTGACTAACACTGATCAAAAATCAGCAGAGAAACAAGGACTGGAAAACAGGGCATCATCTAAACCCCTTCTGCACAAACACACCCAATGCTGGAAGGTTTGAGAGAGATCCAAATGTTTTCCAAACTCCAACAGGCTCCAAGCTCACCAGATTTGCAAGTCAAGCATTGCTGTGCACCAGCATCGAGCCCCTCCTGCTCTGGGACACATGAGCACATGTCTCATCCCAACCACTAATTTGGATTACAATGCATTCCATTTGTTTAGCAACATTTTCATGGCAGCTCTAACGAAAGCCACATCCTGCAGGAAATTTTCTGATGTGCTGAAGTAGTTGCTGGATGGTTTTGTATACACCCAGAAACGTTTCTCTCTGCTGTAGGGGAATGAGCCTTTCCCCAGGCAAAGGGGAAGTGCTGCCTCCTCCCCTGCCCCAGCTGCACATTGGCTCTCTCTGAGCTGAAACCGAAAGTGGCTCCGTTCCTGCTGAAGGAAAATAAATGCTGCTACCACCCAGTGGAAAGTCCTCTCACAGCCAGGATCCCCGGGTGCTTCACAAAACTGGCCAAGTAAACTTTGCAAAGACTAATCCAAAACATCCCTGTGGTACAAAGCTTCCTGTTCTTATCCTGCTGAGTACGTCCTTGTGGACACAATAATTCTTAAATTTGAAGACAAAAACCTAGAAGGTTTGAATGCTTTTATTTGAATTTTTATACAGCAATACAAATTATACAGATTCGTTACAGTACAGATTTTGCAGGGGTTTATAGAGGTACTTTGTGAGTTTTTGGTTTATTTAAAAGAAAGAGGCAGATCTCTCGGGAGCACGGTGACATGAACAGAACAATCTTGTGGTAGGAAGCAAATCCTGACCACAGGGAACACTAACCTGGCTGAAACCTACTGGGCAGAAAGGTGGTGGTAGCATTCCCAGCAATAACATCCCAAAAACATCAACCCTGGGATACCCTGGAGCTTTACACAGGAATTGGTGAGCACACAAGTGAGAGGGTTGTTCCTGTAACAGTGCTGGAAGTCCTCGAAGCCCTTGGATGTACTTTGCTGCAGAGGGGACAGAAATGAGGGAAGCTGATGTCACACTGAACCTGCTGTTGAGCAGGTGATGTCACCAAACAGAGTCACTGCCACGATGGAAAAGGAAACAGAAAATTCTTTACAGGAACAGTGAGATGAGGAACACGATTTCAGACCTAACAATGCTGTCATGTGCCCACCAAGACACCACATGTGCCACCAGAACCTCATGGCTCATCTTATGTCTATCTCAGGTTCCTGTGAGCAGACACAGGAGAACAGCAGAGCTTCTCTGCAGGCCTGAGTGCACAGGAGAGGGGCTGAACATATAATGTCATCAAGGTATTGCTATTAGTAATGTGCATCAGGCTTGAGAGTCAAGTGTCTGGCACTGAGGATTAAAGCCTTTCAGCAAGCAGGGTCAAAAATATGATTACACCATCCTAAATGCTTCTATTCAGTTTGGTTTAATACTGCTACAGCAAGTGCTATCACGAACAACAGAATAAATTACAGATTATATAAATAAAATGTATGCACCAAATAAAAGATGTCTCTCTGCCACTTTTAATATACTTCATTCCTGCAGAGGGTAAGTGGCATTCAAGAGGAGGGAGTCAACTATTAGATGAGAAAATTCCACTCTCAGCTGGAAATCAAATTCATTTTCAGTCACAGAAACTCCCCTTTCTAAAAATCTAAGACAAGCAACACGAACTAAATTGCATCCCGAGAATCCATCCCAGGGAAGCCCTTGAGAAGTACAAAGGTAATTGATTCTACACTAGAATATGCTGGAATAGCCAAGCAGTCCCTTTCCTTCAGAGCTTTTGCACTCCACTGGTAGTGAAACACAGAAACCATCAGAATGTAAAACATAAACAACACAGATTTCAAGATGCTCAGTGTTAACAGCTCCTCACCCCTGCTCTTGCTGGGAGTGCAAATAACCTCGAGAGAGCTTCTGTGCACAGAGAGGGAATGGGGCTGGTACAGAAATCCTGTGACTACGCCTTGGAGCCAACCTGACACACAGAGCTCATGTCCAAAACGCCCCCAGGGGAACAGGGGGTGTCCAGCAAAGTCACTGCAAGCAGATTTGTCCAAAGCAGGCAGCAGGACAAGGGCTGCTCTGCAAGCTGCAACATGTCAACTCTAGTTGAAGAGGTTGCACATGCATTCCAAAATTTGCTGGCTTTAGTGTTAAATCTTTCCTACATAGAGGAAGGGTTGCAGTACTACAGTATTTGCTCTAAAATTCTCACAATTTTATCATCTTTCCTGAAGACAAGTCAGCAGCCAGTACTACAGGTAGCAAATGCTCTTACTAGACTATGTACTAAAGACAGGATTGAAACTATAACAGTATTCATAGGTTAAAAATATCAGTATCATCCAAAACTGGCCACAATCATCATGAGCCCTGGGACACCTGGAGAACTTCAGAAATTCAGTCAGCACTGGAGACTGAGCAGTGGCAGCACATCTCAGCAGGTGAACAAGTTGCTGCTGCTTTAGGAAGGCCAGTAAGCCACACTCGAGGGCATGAACTTAATGTGACTCTACCAGTGCATTATTTGAGTGTGTGAACACTCCTCCACCTCTTTGTTCAGCCATCAGAACCACCTTGATGGCCACAAGCACAAGGAGCCGTCTCAGAAGTTGCTCCAGGCTTGCACAGCCCAGTGAGTCAGCAACACACCCGTGCCAGCACTGGGTGCTGCCCTGGGGACTGGGATGAGCTCTCCCAAGGGCATTCCTGGACTCAAGAGTTCAGTGGAGATTATTTTTTTATTTTTTGGTGGTTGACTGCAGAGTTTTGCAGCACATTAAATGCTACTGTCCACTGCTGCAGTGTCCAACAGCTCTTGCAGACTCCCACCTTCCCCACTTGCAACCAAACTGGAGAAACAGGGCAAAGCACTTCCTACAGTAGCAAAGCAAACTCTGTTTCAGTTCCAAAACCTGCCTGATGCCTTCCTGCCTTCAGTTTTGTTTAATTTTCTAAGTTTAAGCTGGAAGAAAGCTCTGTACAGCTACCAGAAATAACTCAGTGAGAACATGAATAGCCACAAAGTGAATGATCCATTTGCTATGCTGCTGGTACCTTCTCAGTCTGGGCTTTGCCATGCCAGGCTTAGCTTTAAGCAGCAGATAAAGTTAAGCATCACAGGTTAAACCTCAACTGCTTTTCCTAGTAGGATGGGAAGAAAATAATCTTGCTTCCTCCTATAAAACTTAACTGCCACATCCTTATATTAAATATAGTTGTGTTAACCGTTGACAAAAGCTGGTTTGATAAGCTTCTGTATAGGAAAATGTTCACCCATTAAATTTTTGAAGGAGGGAAAGGAAAAGGACTGGAGGAGTCTGACTCTGAGCCACATGGGAAGCACAGTGTGGAATGCTCCAAAGAAACCAGGTAATGCATTAATGTTTGCATTTTAAAAGTTACTTTTAAAAAACCCTAAAAAATAAAAGAAATAAAACCAGTAACACAATGATTTTGGGATCAGGCTGCTTTCACTAGTGGGAAACCCTTAACCAAACCAGTATTAGCAGATACAGAAAAAGACATCTAGAACTAAGATGACCCATTTGCCACCTCTCTCACTCATCAGGTTTCCTTTTCTCCATGCAGTGATGAAATCCCTGCTTCCAGCAGCACCAGTTTGACAGAGCAGCTGTGGGAAAGTGTGGCAAGAGCTGCAGGGCACCAACTCTCAACCAGCCCTGCCCTTCCACACTGCTCAGGCTGCCAGGCAGGACAGCCAGGTGCTGGCACACAGCTCCAGCTCAGGACTGGGACTCTGCTCAAGCTATGCTAAGAGCAGGTTTAAACAGAGGCTGGACTGAGTAGCTGGAAGCAGGAATACTTGCCATGCTTTCAGGCTATGGAAAGCAGTAAAAGCAGCAGGGAGGTCAGAGCTCATTTCCTCAATAAAAACATGGCTCTACCTCTTTCAACTTACCCTGCAGGACATTAAAGCACAAACTTCAAAGCCACAGGGCAGCAGCCTCCTTAAGCATTATGCCCAGTGGGAAATGGGGCAGTTGGGAAAGTTTGGAGGAAGCTGACAGACAGCAGCAGTTGATCCATTTACTGTCCCAGCACAAAGGCCACATGACACTGCTCAGCATCACACTGGAAAGACACAGCCTGCCCCGTGCCAGCCACAGGACAGCAGCACCCATGGCAGGAGCACAGCCTGAGCAGCTGCAAGACCTGCAAGCTGCAGGAATTCCAAATCCCACCTGGCAGCCTGAGCAATGTGCTCAAGTGACACTGAAGTCACAGGACAAACAAGTTGGGCTCATTTCCACCCATTATTAATTTTTACCTCACTGTTCCAGCACTCTTTAGATTAGATTCCTCCCCTTTATCTTTTCTTCTTCCCCCCCTTATTTTGTGTCAGAATGGCTCTAGGACAAATTAACACAATATTTGAAAACTGAGGGGGGGAAAACATGGTAGAGTAGACTCAAATAAAGACCAATGTTAAATATTACTTAATGTTTTCTTTTATTTAAAAGATCATTCACAAAATACCATATCCATAAATTTATTTTGTTATGAAGCAGAATGTGCTAAGTGTTTGGAATTCTTTTTTTTTTTCCTTTGTTTTTACATTTAAAAGTCAACTGTCTTGACTAGAAGTGAGTTTTTATATGGGAATTTGTTCTTAAAATCTTTTCCACATTGAAGATGTAAATAGATCAATTATTGGTTTGGAATACAACCACACAAATGCATGTCTGTCTTAAATTAAGTATTAGTGTTAGACAAATGGTTCTTATCTCAGAAGCAGATTAAGTGAAAGGCAGAAAAAGGAAAGAGCAGTTCTGTAAATTGCTGGGACTCTGACTTACAATGGGAACCTTAGGGAAGAAATCCATCACTAGCAGTGGTGCTGGTAGTGGGGCAGCCGTGCTTCCAACCTCCTCTTGTAAGTACTCTGGGGTGCTGGCTGGTTTTTCTGAAGGCTCTCAGCACTGGCAATATGGGCCCAAGCTTTTCCCATACACTGGACACTGGTGTCTAAACTTCAGTGTAGTAGAACCAGGTTTTAGTTTTAAACATTAATGATTTCTCCTTTTGCTTCAGCCTCCCCTCCCTCCTCCCACACAACACTGACAAGAAACATTTTAAGTGAAGAGAGGTGTAGTAACAAGAGATGCTTTTTACCCAAACTTCTACATGAGAGTCTATAGCAGAAAGATTTCTAATCTGCCCATTTTCAAGGTATTCTGAAAGCTGAGGTCCTAAAACTATACCCCCAATGGGCAAAGAAATACAGGGGATAGTGACGATCAAATACTGCATGGCAAAGTATACACTCCTTCAACAAAAATAAAAAAGTCAATTTTATTTGTAGAAACTTCATTTAAAAATTTACCAAACATGTAAAACCCAAAAAAGTAAGCAGAAAGAGCCAGTGAGCAGTTGTGCTCAAACAGGCATGGCTTTGCAGCACTAACCTTGAGCTCAGAGTTGTAGTGGCATCATACCATTTGGAAGTCGAGAGCCAGCAGGAAGAGGCTGCTGGCAGAGGCTTTGTCCATACTGATTCCACCAGCTATTCACCAGGCTTGTCAGGCAAGGCATCCATTAAATTGATCCTTCCTGGCAGCCCATGTGAAAGGGCAGCTGCCCCCCTTAGTTTAAGAAGGGGCTCTGCTGTTAACAGTGACTATCACCAATTGTCATAAATGGTATTTCACTACTTGGTTAGAACTGTAAATTTCTGTTCAACTCATCTGGACTCTTCAGTTTTCCTCTTCAGAGCCACAGCAATACAGAACGAGACATGCAAGTCAGAAGAGGAACACTGAGGAAGTAAAAGGAAACAATACAGGGAAATAACTAAGTCTAACCTGTGCTTCTAAAGTAAAACAAACCCAGAAAGGAAGAAGTGAAGCAGCACCTTTGTCCAGAGACCTCCACACTTGTGGAAGCAGCCACACTGCCTTATCTACTGGCAACTGTGCTGCTTGGAAGGAAACAGAAGAGGGAAACTCAGCACAAAGCAGGCACTAGATACAGCAAAGCCAAGAACGTACTAAAAACCACTTGTTAACAGCTGACATGCATTCACAAGCTCTGTGTTTTCGGTTTCAAAGAGGACAAATACCAGATGGCAGGAATGGTAAACTGCAGGGTTGACATTCCAGCAGAGCTAGTCACTCTGTACTGTCTTGCTTTTTCTCCCGCCTCCCCATTCCCTCTCAACCCCAGACTCAGTCGTGTTCTTTTACTACTTCCTCCCGGGGCTTGGCTCCTCCGAAGATGGCAGAGTTTGGATTGGCTACTTGATTGAGGGGAGTATCGACTGTTCGAGGTTTGAGCTGCAGTCGGGGTCGCTGTGCTCTTTCCTCTGAAAGGAAAAACATCCCACTTGTGAGATCTGCCTGTGCAGGGCACGAGCTTCAACCTGACAACAAAACCAGGAGTCTCCTTTGTGGAGGAAGACAAATCCCACCCAGCAGGAGCTTACCTTCTGTTGGCTCTCTGAAGTCCATGGAAGACCCACGAAGGGGAGGCCCATCTCTGAAGCGACCAGTGCCGCCGCTCCCCATGGAGGCCCCTGGTGGCCGCCGGTCTCCAGGGCGGGTTCCTCTACCCCGACCTCCCAAGAAGTCATCATCTTTGAATCCTGAAGATGGAAGACAGTGAATTTAAAGAGCATCTTTTGCAATGTTTTTAATCTAGACTGAAACCCTTGCTAGTCACCGCTGCCAGTCCGAGGTGATGCACTGAGAGCCTTTGTCTGCAGGCAGATTGTTTCACAGAGCTCTAGCACCTTCTGCAGGAGTTGTTCGGGTTCCATTTGAAACCAAGTATACTATGCCAAATTGAGAAAGTGTTTTATCCACTTAAAGGGTTATTGGGAGTGTTGGAGAGTGGGTCAAATGAGTTTAAAATATGAACCTTGGCTCTAACTTCAGTTTGTTAACATCATTAGCTGACTTGAGAGACAACATGACAAGTACTCAGAGTACTTCCATAGCCAGATCATCACACTGGCTACAACCTTAGCATGAAATCTGCAGAACAGAGCAAATGGCAAAATAGCTGGGAAGTAGTGAAATACACTTATAAAGCAGAGTAAAACCCCAGAGATGTCCAGCTGTACTATAAACTGACCAGGCATTTACCAAACTAATTTAAAGGCTGGGGGGGAAAAAACCAAACCAGACTTTAAACTGACTGCATTTCTTTGGTTTATGTATCAGAAAAAAAAACAAAAAAAAACCCCAAAAAACCAAAAACAAACCCTATCTGTCACTGACCAGAGTTCCAGTCTGTACCAGTGACTAGCCTTGAGTATCTAGCCTGTATTTCAGTAGGAGGAGGACACTTCAGGCTCTCAGCATATGGGAAAGGAATACACTCAGATTTTCAGAAGCTGCCGGGAAGAGAAAGTTGTTTGGTTCCCAACTGAGATTCTCCTTTTCACTTCAGTATTTGGCAGAGTTGCAGAGCTGTCCCTTACTTCAGTGCCAAGCAAGCCATCTTTAAAGACTTGGTCTAGAGCGAGGCTGTACAACCTGAGAAGAAAAGCTTCTGTAGCAGCTAAGACTGAAATGCTAAACTTCTGGCTCACAAATCACTCATCCAGCATTTAAAGGCTGAAATGCATCCACATTTGGAGAAGCTGCCAAAGAAGGTATGAAGCTGTGACACAGAAGGCTTAGCTCCAAAGGCAGGTCAAGCACAGGACTGCAGCAAGCTCCTCTCTCCAGCATCATGCTCCAATCCATGCTGGGCCAAGGTCACACTTGGCTTCTCCTACATCGCTCATTCCACTCACGCAGAGACCAGACACCGCAAAGTTGTACTTGCCAACATCTCCCCATCAGAAAATGGACCAAACCCATGAGTTCAGAGGACAAAAGCAATTGTGTTAATGCCACCCTGCATTCTAATAGCTGGAACTGACTGGAAGTTAAAAACAAACCCAGTGGCTCCATCACTGCCTTCCACTCAGCAAGCTCACTCACTTGCTGCAGCTGCATTACCAAAACAGCTCTAAAAGTTCAGGAACATCTTGCATTTACAGTGCTTTGGAACACTAATCTGACTTCAGAGAAGTCACTTACTTCAGGGACACACATATAATGACATCACATCTCTTTGAGAAGATGAAAGCCTCTGCTCTGACACAGTATCAGGCTTCCTACACCATCTGTCTGTTTCTGCTACTATTCAGAAATTTACTTAGCTGTATGTTTGAGAAATGCTTAAAACAGTCACCCATAGGCTACATCTGGACAAGAATTCTGTCCTTTACAGTCATTCCACAGACTTTTATATTGAGACACTTTCCTCTCAAGGCAATGGAAGATTCCCCATGAGGAATCCCACCACAGCTGCAGGATGTCCAAAGTTGGCACATACAGTAGATTCAACCAAACCAGTAATGGTGACAAATGAAAATGAGAACATTTCAGTGCCTTTTAGGCTTCCTATCTGTATAAGTGTTAATACTGATACCAGAATTGAAGTCATCTCTGGAATCCCATCCACCTCCTCTGGATTCTCTGGAACCTCCTCCCATTCCTAGGAAAAAAGTCACAATTGTGTTCAAGTCTGGAGCTATGGGAAAGACTGAGCAAGGGAATACCAAATCAATGTTTCAGTCCTTCAGTATTCAAATTATGCTGCTGGAAAATTCTTTTCTTCTGGTACTACCAAGTTTCATTGCACAGCAACAGTTAGTTCAAGTTAACAAAGAATAAATGGCCAAAAAAAGTTTCTTTAATACACATTCAATGGAAACCTCTGGTCAGTCCAGTTCAACCATCCTGCAACTACAGGCAAGAATGTTTTTACACTGGAACAAGAGACATACTCCAAAATAAGCACTTGTCTACATGTGCTTACTCACTTTCCATAGATCATCATAAAATAGTAGCAGATCAGACTGTTGGGCTTATGATTGTCCTCTGCAAGACACAACACATTATTAGGGGTATTGGTCTCACTTCCTGGGTTAGAAGTGACAACACATCCAGCCTTTGGACACAAAGCACAGCTAAATTTCAGACACCTCAGGAGCAGCAGCAGCAGCTGGTTAGAAACACATACATCTATACAAACAAAATTTCACTTTTCAGTATCATCTTCATGTTCACTTGCATGCCTTGTCTCAGCATTAGTCAGCACCAGAAGCCATAACTATGACCACTATATTTAAGCTAGTCAGAAAAACGGAATCACCTCTGTCATCAGGCCCGCCGCCTTTTCTGAAGCCAAAGCCGCCTTTATCCTGTTTCCTGCCTTCTGCTATGTCCACTCGGAGTGATCGGTCACCCAAAAGCTGTCAAATCAAGGGGAGAATCTGTTCAGGATTATCATAAGGGCTGCCAAAGAGTTTGAGACCTCTGCTTGTCTTTGATTTCACAAATTAATTGTAAGTGTACTTACTGCACCATCGTATGTAAGAGCTTCCTTGAGCGACTCCACCTCATCAAACTCTACGTAACAAAATCCTGTAAGAAACAAATCTCAAGTTAACAGCACTTTAAAAGGCCTTGGTAAGAGACAACTCCTCCTGCATGCCTGCTAGCAGCTTCCTTCTCTTTTAAACATGAGTTGTGATGTGCATATGGCTCAGAAACCAATTATCATCAACAATGGACACATTAACCTTCATCTGTTAATGACAGGGCAAATCCTGAAACAGAACTCTGGGCACTCTGTGAAGGCCAAGAGCCTAATTCCCTTTTCCACAGAGTCCTCATTATAGATTAGATCTATTAGATCTGATCTTCACCTTCAGACAGCTATTCAGCTGAATATTGACACTTCATTCCTAGTGTTTTTAAACAGGAAGTTGAAATACTTATGTAGTCAGCAGTGTGATTTTTGTGTCATCACATCATTTAGTGGATTTACTCCTTTTCAGAGGCCCTCTGTTATCCAAGGTAAGCCTTTTCCACCCCTTAAAACTTACAAATATAGTTCATTTCACTAGATAATTTCCATAGCATTTGAATCTGCATCCTCTAAAACAACTGCCTGTTTTCTCCCTGTCTACTAAAAAAAGACAGAGCTGAAGCAATGGGAGTTTTCTGAAGTAAAGGAATTATTCAATACTTTAGGCCACAGGACTTGAGTGGGTCAGCTCTGGTAGAATTCATACCAGACAAGTTTGACAAAGTTATGTCAGGGCAAATACTGACTCCTCACTCAGGTTACTCTGTATCTCACACTGATGAAACAGTAACTCTCATTCAAAGGATACATATTAGTGAACAAGAAAACCTGCAGAAGTCAACATAAAAGCAGAGAACTGTGCTTTAGACTGAAATTCCCTTTTAAAGTGGCTTTTCCTCCTACAAATTTTTCATCTACCACCAAAGAACTCTGAGCACTCACCTTTAAATTTGTCTGTTTCCTTGTCTCTGACTAGTCGTACGCTCCTTATGCTGAGATCCTTGAAAATGGCATCTATGTCTCCTTGGACAGTGTTGAAGGGCAGATTTCCCACATATGCTGTGAAAGGGGGCTCTGTTGGCAGCTCTTTATTTCTGCGGGAACCAAGGCCACCACCACGAGACCTGTTGGGAAAAGCACAGTGCCCCTGGAACTGCCTCCCAGCACAGCCACAGTGCAGCCACAGCACTGCTCAGGTGCAGCTGCAAGCCAATTCTCCCACAGCTTGGCTTAGTTAACCTGTCCTTTGGCCTGCACCTGCCACCTGAACTGTTGGTCAACTCCTTGCCTGTATTACCTGATGCAGTACTTCAATAGGAAACTGAGTACATTATGAGGTGATGAATGAACTTCTCAACTCATAATTCACTAAGGAAAGCCACACAAGGTTAACTCTGATGTCCCCTGCTCAAAAACATTACCTTTTAAAAGAACCATCTTAGAACAGATTTTAAGAATCATTTATAGTGATGAAGAAATACTTGTATGGCATAGGTCTGTCAGCTTATCTGGAAATTAAGCTGGATCCAATGCTTTAAACTAAAGAGTGTATTATCAACACCCACTCCACAATTATCCAAATTATCTGAGCAACATTAAGCTTAAGAGAAATACCTTCCCCTAAGTCTGAAGCTGTGGCCGTAATTGTTGGATATCTGGACCAGAATGCTTTGAACTACACACAAAATAAATTTGGTTGAACAAGGAGTTCTGAGGCAGAAAACAATCATGTGCTCTCTGGATGTTTTCTTCTTTTGTCTTGTGAATTACAGAGGTAAACTGGGTGGTCTTTTCCTGTCTTGTCCCTCAGTACCAGTTAAATTCTTGGCACTGGATGCTGAGGAACTAAATTGTACCTGCTAAATTCTTTAATGAACTAATGTAACACATCTGTGTGAACTTCCTGCAGAGCCCAATCTTCAAAGGACTGGAATTTCTGTACAGAGAGCAAGGTATGTACAAGGCAACCTGAAGTTAAAGCTCCTAGACTTGTAGACTACAGAGTGCTACTGGTTCCAACACCATTAGTCCCACAAAAGCAATCTGACCTTTACCTGAAACATCTACTTACTACACTGTCCATCTTCCCTTCATCACCTTCCTTCTACTGGGCTTTGCTTGTGTCTGTTCCCTTTCCCTGGGGCTCCCTGTGCATTTAAAACCACGGTGGAACACAAGCTGTACCAAAGCAGGATTTGCCAATGTGACATGGACCAAATAAACTGCTGCAGAGACCTTCCTAAAATCCAGAAGGTCAAATAATTTTAATAATTTCCTTTTATTCTGGCTGGTTGCATGCAGTCAAAAAAACCTCTGGGCAAGCAAGGTACTGGACAGTATTTTTTTTTTCATTCGAGAATAAATATTTTACTACTAATGAATCAGATAATGCACTAAGCTTGAGTAAGATTTCTTAACTTTTCCTAGGTCAGCCTATCATTTGTGCCTTATTTAGCAGCTCCATGCAAGAATCATTTGTCACCAACACTATCAACATGCTGCTAAATCTACTTGAATCACAATCTACATATCTTTAATTAGTGTCCACCCAAGTTTGCATTTTAACATTTTTGACAATATTCCTCATCTGCCTTTGTCTCATTAACAAGTCAAAAACATACTGGAGAACTAAAGCTGTAATAGTTGTGAATTACTTCAGTTACAAGACTGAGTTTTAAGGAGGGACTCCAAGAAAGATGAGTTGCTGTTCTAAATAACCCCATAATACATAGAATCAGTTCCATGCCTTTGTCCTTATTTATGATCTACAGCATTAGGAACAGCTGTTACCATACATTCAACTTGCATCCAAAAAAGAAAACCTTAATGTTTATGTCCTACAGGAACATCAGAATTGAGTTTTAAAGGAGCATTCTCTCCTTGTACCCATTCTCAGGATGTTCCCTGAGCTGCCACAGTCACCTCACAGGGAACTGGTTCACCTAAAAACCCACCCTGGAGTTGAGTCCTCAGTCAAGATAGGAATGAGGAGGAGAACAAGGGCTGGAACTACAATTTTCATCAGCAATCTCCACTCAGCTCCATTTGAGCCACTTCTAAAACCACACTCTCAATCCCCAAAAGGATTTCTGTGCTACAGACAAACCTCCTTTCTACCACAGTGCACCAGAACTTCACGGGCTGAATGTGTGGAAATCCATGCCCTATTGTGCAATCCAGACTGATTTTAAAGTCAGAAAATTAAATATTCTTCTCCAATTTGATATTAAGGCTTTGATTATCAAATATAACTATACCTTTGTTATTTTAGTTTCCATTTGAAGACAGGCAATAGGCAATAATTAAGTTTCAAACCAAATTTCTCATGGAACTCAGGTATAGCAACACAAAAAGAAACTGTTTCTGTACTTCCCTACATTTTTTCCAACACTGAAACAGTGAAATAAGAAAAGGGCTGACTTTAGTAACTGAACAATGAGATTGGAAGAAGAGTCCTTCATTTGCAACAAAGTAGGACAAAAGTAAAAAAATAATTGAAACCACATCAGAACTAGGCAAACCAGAGTTCTGAATGAATATCTGCATTTCCCACTGTAAACTTTTGCTTAGACACAATTAGGTAATAATTATGTCATCTTACTGTGAGAATCTGAAAGACATGACTTGATTTCCTTCTCAGAAAACCTAAGCAGAAAGCTGAAGAGGAAAGTTTGCTTCAAGCAATACCCCCAAAATTAAACTTTGGTGGGCTGAGTTAATGAATTTGGCCATATTAGGTAGAAAACAACTAAATTCCCATTTTAAAGCTACTCTTTTGCAAAGATTGGTTATGTCTCCAGAAAAGAAGATCTGCCAGAAATTCAAAATGAAGGATATTTTGAAACCCAACATTTGAGTTAAATAGCCTTTCACTAGAGAGCAAAGCTCGAGATTTCCCTTTTGCACAGCACAGAGACAATAGCTTACCTGGGTTCTGACATTAGAGCTTTTCTGGGGCAGCATGAGGATTAGCAGGGTGACAGTGTCAACTCTCCAAGACCACAACACTAAATTCAATCCCAATTTATTCAAGCAACCCTGGACATGTCTGGAGTAAGTATCAGATGTCTGCAGCAAAACACTTACCCAAGCCTAAAAATTAGGAGTTCTCTTTCAATGCTAGATGGGATCCAAGCTGCCAGAAGCATAAGTCCTATCCATTTTCACTGAACTGTGCAGCACTTCAGCAGGTGAATCTTAACCTTTAGTAGGGTGCTCAGCACTTCATGCCACACCTAAATAAACAGCCTAGCAGTGAGTTAGGAGTGGTAAACACTCCCTTTCTTTCAACTCTGGGAATCCCTACAGACAGTTTCAGTTTCAACTAGGCCTCAGTATGCTTAACTACAGGTTCTCCTGTCAAATTTTGGGCTCCAAAATACTTTCTAAAAAGCTTATAGTAAGCCTTTTGTCATTTCTGTCAGCATCACATTCTTCACCAGGAACAAAGTGACTTCTGCATCCCCTAATATGATTCAGCTTTTAGTCAGTGCATCACTAAACACCTCAGGTGTAGCAAAATCCCATCTCATCACACCAGTCATATCTTGATGCTCTTCCACCATTATTTTGATGATGAGAAAGAGGCAGGTAACTTACACGTTAGAACCTGTTGGGCACTGATTTCCCATCTGTCACACTGAAATCCTGTGCTCACTCACTATGTACACCAAAGGTTATACAAAAGGCAACTTCCACAAAATCTACTACATTTCAGCTGAGTTTACACTATTCCTACAGTCCTAGAGCACGTAAAAATGAGCAGGAGCCACTTTAAATTAACATGGGATTCTTTAATCAGAACCTTCAAAAACAGTCATACTTTCATTACACTCCATATATTACAGGACTTCATACCATACACACAGACACCTGCTGAACTGTGCATTAGCTATCAGTAACTTAATAGTGATAACAATAAATCAGATAGAAGTATACATTGCACTGTAATATCAGTAGTGTCTGATGTTTAGTACTGTAGGTAAATCCGAGTATGCACATTTTCTTACCTGTAAAGACATCTGCTAATTTGCAGGATGCCTTTAGTTTGCCAAGTAAGGATTCACATCTTCCCTGACAGCAAATTTAAGTTCTCTTTCAGGAATCTGAATATAAAATAACATTTTAACTGGCATTTTACTGCTTCACAGAATATGCCTACACTGACTAGAATACACTGTGCAGCAATATCTGAGTTTATAACGAGTCAAGTATCATTTTAGACTGCTGGCAAGGTTATTTTGTTACAGAACTCAAAAAAAATAACAGAAATGCAAGTGGCTACATCATGTTTGCTCTGGGACATTCCTGAATTAGATACAAAGGGTATCAGTGCATGAAAATGAGCTTGAAAAGCTTCAAGTGTCAGAATACTTCCAAAGACAAGAAAAACTTACTGCTGTTTTAACTCCAGCAGCTCCTCCCTGCTGCCTAAAGAGTCTGAAACGAAACCAAGTTATTAATCTAAGGGCAGAAAAGGGCACAAACACTGTTGATCAGGAAATATACCCTGGAAGAATAGATTATACAGTAATACATTTGTGAAGACTTGCTCACAAGGAAGTTTATTCCACAGATTTATGCCTATTGTTTTATTTCATACACACAGAAACTAGTAACAGCAGCAACCGCCAAAAAAATCAATTGTTTGATTGCACCCTCCTAATGTGATTTTAGACAAACTTCTAACTACTGGTTATTGTCTCTGCAGCTCCTCCCCTAAAAATACTCTTCAGTAAAGAGACAGAGACAAGCCCGATCCCGAAGGATCAGGGATTTACAGTGAGCACCCGGAGCCCCGGATAACGCAGGACGGCGGCTCCCAGCGCTACTCGAGCGGAGACACCACAAAGCCCTCCCATTTCCTCCCGCCGCAGGCACCACAACGCTGCCCGCTCCCGGGGGCGTCTGGTCCCGCCAGCACCGCGGTCTCCTGCCCTGCTCCAGCCCTTCAGGAACGCTCCCTCCGCCCATCCCGCTCCGGCCCCACACAAGCTCCTCATGGCCTTCCTTGGCTCTGGCCCAGCACCTCCCTAAATCCCCCTCCATTCGCCTCCGGGACGGCGGGAACAGCGACACCCTCTTCCTCCCGCCGTTCCCGAGCCGCCTGGCCCCGAATCCTGCGGCGCTGGCCAGAGCAGCGCGGGGACGGCCGAGACCTCCCAGGACCCGCAGCCCCCACTCCGCCGCACAAAGCGGGTCCGCCACGGGCAGCGGAAGGGCACCTCCCCGCCATGGAGGAGGGCGGGCGGGGGGCAGAACGAGCCCAAACAGTTTCCAGAGGCAGCGCCCCCATCCCGCAACCCCCGCCCGCCATCCCTGCGGAGCGGGGCAGGCCGGGCCCTGCGGCCGCGCCCCCGCCTCGCCCGGCCGGGGCTACTGCTCCCCGCTCCCGTCCCAGCTACGGGGGGAGCCCCGAGTGCTGCCCCCGGCCCCGCTTACCCACGGCCGCCGCCGAAGCTGCTGTAGGCCCGGTCGTCGTAGGGATCAAAATCCGCCATCGCCGCCGCGGCCTCGTCCCCGTGCGAGCGTGACAGGACCGCGCCCGAGGACCCCGCAACGCTTATATATGGCGGCGCGCGGGCCGGGGCTGCCCCGCGCAGTGCCTGCCTCCAGCTCCCCGCCCCGATGGGGCTGCCCGCGCTGCTGCCTGTCGGGAGGTACACCGTGCGGCTCGTTTCGGTCGGCTCCGGGACGGGATCTGGTCGACGTCTACTCTGGGATCTGCGCGGGATTTACCCGCGGCTCTGCTCGGGGATCTGTTCCGGATCTGCCGGAGGCTCTGCCTGGGATCTGCCCGCGGATGTGCCCGGGATGTGTCGGGGGTCCCCCCGGGATCTGCCCGGGCTGGGCTGCGGTAACGCCTCCGGTGAGCGTTGGACCATCCAGTTCTGACACAAGCCCAGCCCGCGGCTCTTGATTCCGCAAGCATCTCGCTATCGCTGCGGGCAGGGATCACAGAGATCATGGAAATGGATCCTGCTCCAGGTGTCACAGTCATCACAGTGATCACAGGGATGGATCCTGCTCCGGGGTCATTCCCTGCACTCCCGCGGGTGACACCGGTGCTGGCAGGATAGCAGCAACACGCTGAGTTCACAGGGCTGCTGGAGGATAGTGCTGGATTTTATTGCAAATTAAGACAACGGGCTGTACGCGAGAGTTTCACAGTGTCCTTAAAAAATACCATTCGTACAAACTGGTTTGTCTCCTTTTGTCGGGCCATAATTTAATGTTTTCTAATAAAAATGACAGATTCTCATACGATAACCAACTATGCCCCCACCGCCCCTGCCCCGCCGATCCCGGCTCACCTCGCAGGGTTTGCCCCTCTGTCCCCGTCGGGACAGGATCCAGCCTGGATCCATCCCGCCCTCCAGAGATGCGAACGGGCTGAGGGAAGCCCAGGAGCCCTGGGGCAGAGAAGGGACGGAGGAGCCCTGCGGAGGAGCGGGGCTGGGGGCAGCAGAGCGGCTGCTGCAAAATGTAGAACATATCAGGATTATCTTAATGGTCTTTAATGTAAGATATTTGCATATTTTTCAGTAAGAAAGGAGATCTAACCCTTGGGGCAGGAAGCAGCCAGCATCCCTTACTCAAGGACATCTTGGAACTAATAGGCATTAAGCACGTCGTAAATTCGGATGCTGGTATATGCCTGTGTATACTTTGCTAACTTAGCAAAAGACTCAAGGTCCATGTATCCTATAGCTGATCTATGTTCATCATAATTCTAAAGACCCTGTGAAGACCCTTCCTCTCAGCATGTGTAGAAGTTAGCTGAGGTTATGCAACTTGTAAATTACTAACCAATCCCGATAGATGGGCAGTACTTGGAAAGTTACTCTGAACTTCTGAGTATAAATAATGGTGTGAAAAGCCCGGTGGGCTGTGCTGGATTTGCGGAACACCACCGAGCACCTCGGCTCTCGCAACTCTGAAATAATCCATCTATCTGTCCATAGAGTGTGTCACGCTTGGCTTGCGGCACGCCGGGCAAGCAATCCGATTGTGTGGGATGAAGGGTCGAAGGAGCGAGGTGTAAAGGGCGGCTATGAGGGGAGCGGGGGCTGAGGGGACAGAGTGTGGGGCTGAAGGGCCGAGAGATGCTGAGGGGAGCGAGGCTGAAGGGCCGGGAAGAGCGGGACGCGCTGAGGGGAGCGGGGCTGAGGGCCCGGCAGGCGCTGAGGGGAGCGGGGCTGAGGGCCCGGCAGGCGCTGAAGGGCCGGGAGATCCTGAGGGGAGCGAGGCTGAAGGGCCGGGAGGAGCGGGGCTGAGGGCCCGGCAGGCGCTGAGGGGAGCGGGGCTGAGGGCCCGGCAGGCGCTGAGGCCCAAGCGGGGAGAGGGGCTGAGGCAAAGACGACTGAAAGCAGCGGCTCACACGGCGGCCCAGCCCGTCCCGCGGTGGCCGCGCTGCCCCGGAAGAGGCGGAGCGGGCGGGCGGCCCCACGTGCGGCAGCGCTGGCGGCATGGCGGTGATGGAGGAGGTGGAGGAGATGGAGCAGCGGGACAGCGGCGTGGCAGTGAGCGACCCCCGCGGGGTGCTGCGGCAGGGCCGCGCCTTCCTCGACTTCTTCTGGGACATCGCTAAGCCGGAGCAGGAGGTGCGGCTGGCGGCCACTGAGAGCCTCCTGCGGCACCTCCGGGAGGGCAAGAAGGTGAGGCGGGGGCCGGGGGGGCAGTGGGTCACACGGAGCATCCCTGCGCTCCGCGCCCGGGTCTGGCGGCCGGGCCGCGCTCGGAGCAGCCCGGGCACCGCCCAGCACGGTCTCTCTTGCAGGACGATGAGCTCAAGTACACCCTGAAGCGGCTCGTGGAGGGACTGGGAGCCACTCGCGAGGCCGCCCGCCCTGGCTTCAGCTTGGCCTTGGCGCAGGTCAGTGTTTCCCAACGCGGATCAGAACCGTCGGCAGCCTCTGTCCATGCTTGGGGTGTCTTTTGCTGCGTGTGCAAGGCTGGAGGGCTCCCTTCTGGCCGCTCCTGTGTGCACGTGGGAGGGAAGGCTCTCTCAGTTAACCCTAGTGGTTTTAAATGACGCCACACTGCTTTAGAAACTCTTATAAAGTTATGAACTATACCAATATCGCATTCATACTCCAGAATTCAGTCCTGCTTCAAGGACCTTGTCCTTAATTTACAAACTTTGACCAAGTTTTCAATTATTCTGCATTTAGTACTATTACTGCTTCTTAAAACTGTCTTGCTCTTGGTCTGGGTCGGTTGATGTGGGATATTTGAAAAGGTAACCCTTTGACAAACACTTCAGAGTTTTTTTCCTCCCCAATGGTTGAGTCTGTAACATAGCAAAGACTCCCAGCAGCTGGTATCACCAGTGGTGTGTGAGCTCATGTTATCTGAGAATTTGAGAAAGCAGAAGAGCCTGTGTGTTTCCTGCTTTGATCAGGGCATTGCCCATAATGAAAAGTTTGATTGCCTTGGTTATGGGATCAGGCAGTTTCAGCAAAATGTTCTCATTATTCTGTCACATACAGGGAAAGTCCCTAGAGTATCAGCAGATATATTTGTGTGTGCCTAGAATCCTAGAATGGTTTGGATTGGATGGGACCTTAAAAATCATCTTGTTCCATCCCCTGCCGTGGGCACAAACACCTTCCTCTAGACCAGGTTGCTCCAAGTCCCATCCAGCCTGGCCTTGAACATTTCCAGGGATGGAGCAGCCACAGCTTCTCTGGGAAACTTGTGCTGGGGCCTCTCCACCCTCACAGGGAATGATTTCTTCCTAATATCGAACCTAAATTGACCTTCTGTCAATGTGAAGCCATTCCTTGTCCTGGTACTCTGGGACTCCAGAGTCCTTTTGCAGCTCTCTTGGAGCCTCTTCAAGCACTGGAAGAAGCTCCTAAGTAATCATCCTGGAGCCTTCTCCAAGCTGCACAATCCCAGCTCTCACAGCCTGCTTTCTGTTCTCTACATCTTTACTGATCTAGTTGTCTTTATTCTGGCCTGATAAAGCAGCACATCTGCTGCTGTGCTGAATAACTGTTCAGCTCTATTATAGTTTAACCCAATACAATGTCATGAAATGGAAGAACTGCAAACAGCTATTCCATCTCTCTCCTCAGGTTTTGCAGGCTTTTGAGGAAATTCCATTGTGCAGCATTTTGGAACAGATAAAAGAAAAACATGATCTGGAAAAAGTGAAAAAAGTAAGTCAGCTCATGGCAACATTTGTCAACTGCTACTTTAAATGAATTGTTCTCTGTTCTTTGAAGTCTTAGTGTATAGTGTAATTTTGGGGTTCTTGCTAAAGCAAGTGACTATAATGAAATAACAAATATTTCTAAAAATTGGAAGTTGATGACATTGTCATCTAACCCTGTTTTAGGTGAGATTTGTCAATCTGATGAAGAGGTAATTTAGGACAGTCCTTTAACATTGTGCAGGGGGTTGCTTTTCAACATGTTCTCTTCCTGTTGTGGGGTGTTCAAGGCTGGATCTTCCTGCCTTCTTGCTCCACTGATCATGTAGCTGCATGTAAAATCTAGCCTCTGAGGACAGTAAGTAGCTTTTAACCTATTTTCTTTTTTTTTTTTCCTTTCAGAAACTTGTGAGAAATGCTGCTTTTGGGAATTTCTTTGGAGTTATGTCTCTATTCCAGTCTGGACGGCTTGTGAAGGTAACACTGCTGTCAGGTGTGTCAGTTCTGGTTCTGGGGCTTCTGATGTGGAAAAAGGATTGACAGAGAAAGGCTGGGTCACTGGGTAATCCATGCAGTGGCACTTGAAGCATCAAGTTCAGTTCATTTCTCTCATCCATGGACTCTTTGTGCTTTTTTAATGTCTGTTGCTGAGTAGAATGTAGGAACTGTGTTAAATAGTACAGGAGGTTCCTACCACTCTGGAAGGAAGGGATCTGTTGTCATACCCAGCTGGAAAACATGATTTTGAAAAGAGCTGGGTGGCCTATCGTGTTTCTTATTACAAGTAGGCATAAACATCTAAAGAGTGGATTATTACTTGAGCATTCAGCTCAATTTCTGATATATGTCCTCTGGTTTTGGCTTATCTTTCCTTTCTAGGACCGGAAAGCTCTGCTGGAGAGCATCCAGCTTCTCCAGCAGCTGACAAATTACCAAACACACCTCAGAGATCTCCCACGCAAAACTCTTATTGACATCACCTCTGAGGTACAGGCACAGCTGTGGAGTTTGTGGGGTTGGAGAAGGAGAGGGCTTGGCTTTGGGGTCAGATTTTCCTTTCTAGCTGGAAGTTATAGGGGGTGTAGAAGAGTGAGTGTGAACGGTGGGAGCTGTCCCTATGTTGCCTGTGGGCAAATGCTTGTGTTCTGGGAAGGGTGCTCTGGTTTAGCTTATTTGACTTCATTGTGGACAGTCCCACAGCCTGCTGTTTCCCATTTCCCTTGCTTGGATTATGTGTTAGACCATCTGCTCTTTTGAATAGATGTATACTGAAAACTCTGAACAGCAAGCCACCAAGCCTGGGCCTAAGGTTGCATTTTGGGCTGTTGGGAATGAAATAATGTAGGGACAAGGAGTAAAGAGCTCTGAGTATGTAGTTAA